TTTTCGTGGTCCGTTTGACCAATTAATATCATTCAATTAATTAAGGTTTTTAGTTGAGATAAAAAAGTCAGTTTCACAAGCGGGATTCGAACTCACGACCTTCGGCTTGATACGCCGCTACTCTACTACTTGAGCTATCGTGACTTCGATCCACGCGGGCACTAATTCCCATCTCAACCCCACGTTTTGAATATTCCCTGCCCGAGTGGATCGAGGTCACGATAGCTCAAGTGGTATAGTAACGGCGTATCAAGCGGAAGGTCGTGGGTTCGAATCCCGCTCGTGACACTGACTTTTTTTATCTCAACTAAAAACCTTAATTAATTGAATTATTCAAAACACCCACTTTGTCTAAAACGTTTATGCTCTCTACGGACGTATGGATGCCCAATTCGGTACTCATCACCCCTTAGCACTCGGCTATAATAGTGACAATCAACTTGAGGAAAACCAATAAGGCTGCACCCTTATGACATGTTCCATGTTGTAGCATATGTTCAGAGACACTTGTATACTTTACAAGATAGAAATGTTAAATACGTTATGTATTAAAAAATTACAGTTTCGTCGTTAAATCGTTTGCAATTCTTCAAGACATTCTTATATTTTCTGTTTAAATTAGCTGTACAGCTTTTGTTGGTATAGAATGATATTAATTCAACAATTTTTACTCGTTATAAACTTTTTTTGTGTGAATACCAGGAACCGGAGGAGTTCCCCTCCGTGTACTGCAGCTATACAGCTTATTGTACTCCATCCTAGCTCCATTTTTGGGTGTTCGCAACAACACCTGTGTGAATTCAGCCCCCAGCGTGCCGGCATTCTTCTATTGGGAGAAATTCATTTTGGAAAGGGGTCGGTAACGATTTTGGGGGGTTGCTGACTACGGACCTTCCATGGAAGAGTACCGTGTCAATTTTCATTGCGGCCACCTCTCTTCTTATGCGTAAAAAATGGGCCAGTTGGGAATCGAACCCATGACCGCGGGATCTACTAGTCGAGAGTCTGACGCCTTAACCACTTGGCTTTAATTTAATGATATTGAACCTTGATAGATATCATAAGAATTTCACATGGGTCAAATGCACTAGGTTGGCCCTTTGTACATGGAAGTCAGTCTATATTTACACGATTTTAATAAAAAAATTCACATTTTTGTTTTATTTTAAAATGGATGTGTTTTTGAGCTGAATATTTGCGGGTGATCATTTTTACTTCGCGTTGCCGGGGGTTGGGTTAGGAACGTGATAGGTTAGGGTTAGGAAAGGTCTTGGTTAATGTTGGGAAAGGGTAGATTTTCATCTATGATTCAAGATGAGTTAGTGTACAAAATTGTATTCTGTTTAAATTTTTAATTATTTCCTTTAAAAAAAATTTTCCTTGAAAGTATTGCATCGGTTTTGTACTGTTATTTTCTTTTAAGTATTTAAATAAAACTAGAGTCAAAATATACGAGTTTACAAAGAGAATTAGTTCAGGATATTAATTGTGTTATTTGAAACGTTGTAAACATAGACCATGTAATTGTTTTCTGTATTTCATTTAGCATCGTAACTCATTTGTTTGTTTTCTTCAAGAATAAATATTAATTAACTGCAATTACGAAATTAATTCTCGTAATTGCGTCTACCGCTTATTAAAATAACAATAATAAAGTCATATTAATAAATTAATGTAGATAGCACTCAGTGTATCAACTTAATAATAACTAACACGCTAAATTTAGTAAAATATATATTGAGAATTGTTTTAGAGGCAAAATTTTTTTTAAATATTTGTAATTTTATAATAATTTTTTTAATCGAATAATTTTTATTCAGATGAAAAGATAGGTTTTATTGTCAATAATCATAATAAAAATTAAGTTCTAGTTTTTAATTGAGTTCCAGTTAAAAAAGCGAGAGGTATAGCAGGCTATTTAAACGAAAAGAAATAGCAAATCTATTTTCATCAGAAATTTGAAACTATTATTAATTCACTAGTTTTCGTGGTCGGCTTGACCAATTAATATCTTTCAATTAAGGTTTTTAGTTGAGATAAAAAAGTCTGTCACGAACGGGATTCGTACCCACGATCTTCGGCTAGATACGCCGCTACTCTACCACAATAGCTCAGGGGTGGTATTATTAATATTTCACAAAGTTAACAAGTATCAAATTCATTACTTGGCTAGAACCTAAGTACTTACACTTACGATTTCTCGGTTGCAAAAATAGTGAATTTACTAGTTCATACTGAAAGAAAATCCACAACTTGTTTATGGTATGTCGGATTTTCAGATAATTTAGAGATTTTAGCATAAATAAGTTACAATTAATTAAGGTTTATCTAATTTTATCAATATATGTAAAAATTCTTAGTTTCACTTTATAGAAGTGGTACACAATGCAGAACTGAAAAACAGTTATTGCTAATTCATTCAATATAGCAAGATATTAAGATCGTAATGATTTATTGTGCCTAATAAACATAACATTTCTTAGCTTTTCAAAAAAAAATTTGATAAATTAACATTCATTTTATACATTATATTTAGTGGTTTATTGGCCAAATTACTTCTTTCAATTAATTTATCTTTTTATGTGAGGTATTGGTTGAGAGGTCCCCATATTCACCCAATTATTCAAAAACACCGGGATCACATCAGACAGTTAAAATTTCAACAGAAAAAACAAAGTATTCAAAACTCACTAGTTTTCTTGGTCCGTTTGAACAATTAATGTCATTAAATTAATTAAGGTTTTTAGTTGAGATAAAAAAGTCAGTGTAACGAACGGGATTCGAACCAACGACCTTTGGCTAGATACGCCGTTACTCTACCACTTGTGCTATCGTGACCTCGATCCTCTCGGGTACTAACTTCCCATCTCAACCCCACCTTTTGAATTTTCCCTCCTTTTTGCCATTTTTCAAATGTCGACTAATCGGATTGGATTCTCGGCGACAAACGAAATGGCCACGGAGAGCTTTAGTGAAGTATACTTCATTTTAAATCATTAAATTCACTAATTTCGTGGTCCGCTTGACCAATTAAGTTTTGACAACATTTTTCTCAAAACCTAGAAGACCGATTTGCATGATAATTCTTACAATTAATTAAGGTTTTTAGTTGAGATAAAAAAGTCAATGGCACGAGCGGGATTCGAACCCACGATCTTCGGCTAGATACCCCGCTGCTCTACCACTTCAGTTATCGTGATCTCGATCCACTTGGACACCAACTTCCCATGTCATCCTACCTTTTGAGTTTTCCCTCCTTCCTGAGAGTTGGTGTCCGAGTGGATCAAGGTCACGATAGCTCGAGTGGTCGAGCAGCTGTGTATCTAGCCGAAGATCGTGTGTTCGAATCACGCTCGTGCCATTGACTTTTTTATCTCAACTAAAAATCTTAATTAATTGTAATGTATTAGATGGTCAAGCGGACTACGAAATTAGTGAATAAATAAATAAGGTTGATTGTCTCAATAAAACTTTTGAGATAAAAATGCACAATGACGAATAAATTGTATCAATAAAAGGAGGCGGAAATGTGTTAGTATTCATAAAAAATTATTTTTTTTAAACACTTTAATTTAAAAAAATTAAATACCAGGACCTCTTTTATTGTTTATTTCAAACTATATTTATTTTTATCATTGCATTAATTACAACATATTATTTTAATTTAACCTAATTAAACGAGACCAGGAATGCATGTGTTTTAATAAAAAATATTTACTTAGGATTGTTTAAAGAAAAACCACTAAAACACCGGAAAATCAATTAATGATAGAGAAAAATTAAACTATTTTTTTTTACCTAAGTCTCCTCTCATTGAGTTATTATGAGCGTTTCTATTGGTGAATTTTCTTTCACCAATTTTCTTTCAAACCATCATAATTAAATTTTTTTATTGCAAATCGTGAATTAATGATTTCGATTAGTTTGTTTTTCATTAAATTAATTATGTTATAATTAACATAATGAAAAAAATATATAGATTGAACAAACAAGAATATACGAGTGTCCAGTTTTTGTCATTGAGTTTATTTATTCAACGCCTTTGAAGTTGGAAATATAATCGTTTTTAAATACACCGACACGCAAAAAATTCCGCCCACTTGTAATATAACTTAATTGTATATGTGTTTATATATATTAAGCAATGTTTCACGTTTTTAACGTTTAATATTGAGTCTTTGTCTAAAAAAGTAAAAAATAAAAAATTTAAATTGCTAGGAAAAATTAAAAAAAATTAAAAACGACGGACAGATAAAATTTATTTTAATTTTGTTTTAAATTTTTAATTAACATTTCAATATCGCCTATTTCCTCTTCTTGCCTTAATTACTACCTTGAAGACGCCTCGGTTTATTTTCTACTTGTCAGGAAATATCTCTATGCTGGAGGTTAGCCCATACTTCAGGAAGAGACTTTTCAAGATCGTGGAGTGTATGAGGAAGTGATGGATGTGCTCTTATTCTTCTTTTTAGGTTATCACATAAATGTTCGATGGGGTTCAAGTCTGGCCGGGCTAAGTCCTTGATTTTATGTTGTTGAAGGTAAGTTTGTGTTATGCGGGCATTATCGTGCATTAGAATAGGATTGTCGCTGATTTCATCAAGGATAGACAAGGCATGATGTTCCGAAATTTCATCCATATAGTGACTGGCCGTCAAAGACCAGTCGCCACGATCAACAACCAACTCTGTACAACTCTCCATTGAAATTCCAGCCCACACTACCACTCAGCTACGTTCTAATTGTTGACTCTGAGAAAAATTCCAGGCTTCATACCTCATATTTTGCCTTCTCCACACTCTTTCACACCATCTGGAGATCGTTTGACCCCTTCTCTACCCTCATCTGTGAAAAGTACAGCAGACCAATCGTCCTAAAACGAACGGCTGTGTTCTCGAGCAAATGCGAACCGTGCAACTAGGTGTGTTCAAGTCAATTCTGGTCCTCTTACGGGACCAAAAAAGCCATCAGTCCATGCTGATTTAATCTTCTTCGAGCAGTGCCTTCAGAAATTTGGACACTTCGAACTTCCTGGAGCTGATGAATAGCTTGAAGAAGGTGCCGGTTTCACAACATTCTCGAAGTCAAAAATCGGCCATCCTGTGGTTCTGTCACCCTAGTGCGTCCAGAACCTGGCCTTCTATGGTAGGACCCAGTTTCTCGAAAACGTCTAACAGCGTCTCGCAGAGTTTCTTATGAACTAGCCGCAGACCTGGTGGAACATCCATCATCAATAAATGCCATACCACGCACAACATCCTCAGAACTAAATGGCACTGTTTACGCCGATCGACCTTTTGAACCCTTCTGGAGGTCTCCGGCCCGTCGGCGAGTCAGTTGTTGCCTAGAGCCAAAGCCGAAAACATCGTTATCGTACCTGCTTATCTAAACCCGTGTTGTGCGCAATTGATGGTTTCCAATTGCCCTGGTCCCTTAAGAGTTCGGTACCAAACGTCTGAATCCGCCGGAGACTGTGGGGCCCTACCTAGTCGAAGAAAGAAGAGGACAACTGTTGCCGAACTGCTTGATCCCGTAGCGAGACACGTTGGGGTAAGTGCAAACTCGAATGTATCCCAATCCCCTCCTCGGATTCACTCTTTCCCATTTATTTTAATTTATAAACTTATTTACCCATTAATATACAGTCCACTTAACGAACATAAAATTTGGTCCTCCGGGCCGGATAAAATTGTGTAAAAAAAGAGTGAATAAGAGGGGACCGTGGAAGGGTCCGGACATTTGCAATTTCAGTACCTGAATCTGCAGGCAGCCTTACCTCATTCGTGATCATCACCTGGACCACTTGTGTCTTGCCGGTTCCGGGTGGGGGCTTCTGGAGGTCAAGGGAGCGAAGTGAGTGTAACCTTATGTATGTTTAAAAATTGAAATTAAGAAAATAAAGATGAAAACTAAACAGTTTATTGCTTCCGGATTCAAATGAGTGTGAATAAATCTTTTAAATTCCGTAAAACGTAAACATTGAAAAATCCTTTACCCCTTCGTTTTGGAGTAAGGATTAAATGTGTTTACCTCTAATGCATATTCCCAATTTAAAACATAGCATAAACAAATATTAATTGGTATTAATTGGTAAAAAGAATGATACAAATTAAGGGCAAAATTTTCTTTTATCCAGAGAATAAATAAAAAATAATATAATTGGATGGAATTTTTACTTGTCAGTGTATAATCGTACATGAATTTCATATAAGAACCAATCAGTAAAGCAATTTACAAACGCTATTCAGCTTAAAATTTTCCAAATAAAAATTGATTACCTTCGGAATTATTAAAGAAATAATATTTCAATATTGTATTGTTAAATTAATGTTGCTGGTGTTCAGTTCACGTGTAACCATTAAAATTAAAACAAATAAATGTAGATAAATCTTTTAAATAAGAAGTACTTTTAAATCTACAATTAAATTATTTTTACGTCCAACGTAAATGTACGTGTTCGTTGAGACCTAGGTGACAGTAGTTTTTAGAATGAACAAATAACCTCTGTCTATTGAATTATCGCCATAAATCGTTTTGATTGTATGATGTAGGCATATTTGTTAAATAATAGATGATAATGAATGTGGTCTTCCCTAGCGTTAAATTATTATTATCAATTGGAATTATTATCAGTTGTGTAACACTTTAAAGTAGCTTGGATATTGGAAGAGGAGCCCCTTGAGGCGTAGGCAATATCATGCGTCCAGTCAAAATTATCGACAAATTGAAACACGATTAAACAAGACCAATAATTTATTATTTGTATATAGATTTTAAAAATTAAAAATCAAATACATTTTATTTGGAAAGACGTTTACAGAGGTGGGCGTTATTGATGACGTTTTTCGCCATGACAACAATCTGATTTTTCGGTCCATTCTTGCAATAAGAAATCTGATTTTTAATATCAGACGCCCGGATAGAAATGCTGTTGAGGAGGGTCTTTACATCGTACATGAACCTGCTCATATCTGAAATAGCGGTGTAGACGTAGGAGACATAGCACTTGACTGGCGGGAGGTAGTAGTTCCATGTGCAATCGGAAAGCCCGTTGAGGATGTTGTCCAAGTAGATGAGCGTTTTCGAGACGAAGTTGACCACTTGCCATCCGATGACGCCGACGTCTTCCATCGCCGTAGTCAAGTTGGCGCAAGTGAAAAAGCTGTGTTTGCTGGAGTTCTTCACCTCGGCCAGCTGCTTCAGGCCTTCCTCCAAGCAGTTCGCACCCACACCGGAGCTCTTAAGAAGAGATTGGTGCGAATCGGTTATCTCGTCTATCTCTTCTGAACTTTTGGAGATTAAGGAGATGAGGTCGTTTTTTAGCTCGTTGTGAGCGCTCTGAACCTGAGCGTTCATTAGTTCGATCTTCCCTCTAAGCCACTCTTCGTATCTCACTTCCAAAGGGTGCCGTTTCTCGCTCTTCGCCTAAAGTAATAAAGGTTCGTGACTTCATAAAGGACGATTATTATTTAAATAGAAATAAAGCTTAACTTACCTCACAGGCCAGGAAAAGCAATATCGAACTTATCAAAATCCGGGAAATCATGTTGTTGGGATCACTCGCAAAAACGAACTGAAAATTCAGGATTGTTTAGTTATATAAAATGGCTGATCGCACTCGAGCACTTGAGATAATGTCTGATATCAAAACAATTTTTCTTTTTTTCAAAAAAGATGCGAGCAAAGTTCTTTGAGATAATAAAATTAAAAATGCAGGTCATTTCGACAACAACTTTTTTTTTCGAAGTTATTAAATCAAAAGTCTGCTCCGACGCTTAGAATAAAAAAAACAGAGATTTTCTTCTTCAAAATATTTTGTGAATACTACATTCTGTAAAAAAAAAGCTAAAATATTTGTTTTTCATAAACCTTTTCAAAATTAATATTAGAGAAAATCATTTGCCTCTTACATAAAGAAAACGTTCTTGAATTTGAGCAGCCAATTTTAACCAAACGAATTTGTAGAAAAGTTCGAAAAGTCTTGATTTACTAAATCATTTCTTTTAGGCCTACTATTAGCACATTAACCAAAATTATTGACGTTGTTATCACATTTATTATTTACATTAAAAATGTTTATAGAATACGATCTCCATTACATTTGATATTACGAAATCATTAACAAGAAAATACGAAGTAAATTGTTTACGTAGGTTCAAATAAATACATGTTTAGATGTTGCTTGTGCATCTTTCGAACCGAAAAGATTTAATGTAAAAATTCAGTTCATTTGTGTAACTTCAAAATTACTCTGAAATTCATCCGAAATCTCATAAAATTCATTCGTTTTAATACAAACGATCATTCAGTTATAATTAAATAAAAGTAAAGTTTTCTGTCCTCAATTTATTATATAATACATTATGTTTAGTGGTCTATTGACCAAATTTCAATCAAATAATTATTCTTTTTATATAAAGTCTTGGTTGAAACATAACAATAATATTTAACCTTGTATTGACTGCATTAATTATTTAAATTAATTTTTATTTTTATTTAAAGTCTTGGTTGAGATGAAAAAGCTACTGTCACTAGCGGGATTCGAACCCACGACCTTCCGCTCAATAAGCTGCCGCTCTAACCAGTTGAACTATCGTAACATTATTATATAATGTGACAACCAGCATGTATTAACAAATAAAACAAAATTTCGACATGGTTCAATTAAACATTTTCGAAGTGAAGGCCATTTAAATTAATATACATATTTTGAAAATTTCATAATAATAAGATGAACATTAAAAAACTTTGCACCGTTTAAATTTAACGAATAATTGAATTCATACTAGGAACGATTTTTTTACGAGGGTATTTCAACTACGACGCTATATTTACCCTCGCACCGCTGGTTTTTTGAAAAAAATCCCATTTATATGTTTTCAAATGTAGGGCTGCAGGATTCGAACCCTGTACCCTTACTTTACAGAGATGAGTGCCTTGTCAACACCTAAACCGTGGCGGCCATCTGTGTTTACATCTTGCAGAATGGTCCATTTTTTGGCCAATTTACAACATTTAGAACCAACCAAATCCTTCCGGCGGCGACCACTACGGGAATTATATAGGTTTGAAACGTGGGTTACCTCAGCAGCAAGAACAGCTTGTTTACAAACATTGTCAGTACTCCTTCTGCCGATTACTTATCAGAACATACATCTTGGGCTGAGCAAGAGAGTATTTTGGATTTCAAGACTTTCACCTATATATGAATGGGTAAACATTAGGGAGTTTACCCGCCCAGTTATGTGCTGGGTCGCTAGTATCCCCCTTAAGCCAGATGCCCAAGAGATTGTCACTTCCATACCAATGGAGTTAGGATCCGAGGGCTATCGTTAGCTAGGACATTTAAGCCTCAAACGCGAGCACCCTAATAATCTAGCCTAAATAAATTATTTTTCTGTGGCATTCATTCAGACAGACCAAATTAAAAATGATCAAGTGGCAATCAGTTTGAAGTGTGTCCACCGTCTGGTAGATTCAACAGTGTTTTTTCTAATATCGTCGAATTAATTATTATAAATAAATATGTTAACATGAAATCTCCGCAGGTGGGGCTCTGAAATCTAATTTTAGATACCAAAATAGTCAATTTCAATCAAATATTTTTGTATATGTACATAATTCTTAAGATAACAGAGTTGGCATGAAATAGTAAAATCTACATTTATTTTAACAACTTTTACTGAGTGAACAAGTGGTTTATTAATTAACACTTCAGCATCTTATTTGATTGAATTTCTCCAACCAATTAGTTTGGAGCTAATATAGGTCTGAATTTCGACACTCAGGTGCCAGCCCCTCAGTCCTTATAACAATAATAAAATACATATAAAAATTTAAAATTACTGACAAAGTTAAAAATTAATATTTATACCTTTGTGGAGTTCAAATGTAACTTAAGGTCACCGTAAAATCCTGTTGTGGACATCGTGACTCCAGTTGTAAAATTGCATTTTGCTGTTGTTTAAAATGCTAAAAATCGGCAACATATTGTTAATAGAATAATATTCTTACTAAAATTCAAAGGAGAGAATATGTGTGCTAAACATATACCAATGATAACAACAGAAGTGCCTTTCCAATCGAATGATTGCAATTTCCGGTTAAACTACCATTTGCAACACTGATAAACAAACCACAAGGTCAACCATTGCTATCATGTGCCTTGAATTTGGAGAATGCATGATTTTCTCATGTACAATTATATGTTGCATGGTCCAGGATGGGGGATTTGTTGTTTGTATCCTTTTTGGATGGCCCGGAAAATTTCTCTTGGTCCAATGACGCTACAAAAAAAAGTCTTTAGTATTTGTTAATCTAGTTTCAAATTTGACCTTTTTTTGGGAAAAATCCTACATGGTAACTCAGACCCAGTTTAAAGTTTCAAATACGACCCTATATACACTGACAACCTGACACATCACGTTAAAGGACTTTAATCGCTGAAAACAATGGTGCAATCGAATTTCAAATTCTCAAAAAATGACAAAGTTGTGGCAAAAAGTTAGATTGTTGTTGATCAATTTGTTTGCTATTTATTAATCACATTTCATGTTCGAACTGCCTGCCTTGCGTATAGATGTAAATATTTACTCTTTCTAATCAATCTTCACCGGTGCTCAGAGCGATAGAGTCGAGGGAGATGGATTTGACAAGAAGTTTTTATCCTTCGCCCAGTTTTTCAACTGAGATTGTTTGATTTATGATTGGCGTAGACACTGTTTTTATGGTCCCGCAGAAAATAGTCGAGTGGAGTTAAATCGGGGACGGAGGAGGCCAACAGAACGCGCCATGACGTCCTGTCCACCTATCCCGGAAGTGACGATTCCAATAACGACTCACCTGTAAAGAATTTTTGGGGGACATCCATCAAGCTGGAGCGTCATTCTTTGTCGTTGTTGCAGACAAACATCATCTAATAGTGTTCGTAAAACCTCCAAAAATTGAGGAACTAAGCACCATTTAACTTATTTTTTGTAGAAATAATGCCCAATTAATTTATTTCCGAGAAATCCACGCCAAACGTTGATACTGTGAACGACCTGATGATGACAAGAGTACGAACTTCTCGGATATTCCTTTGCCCACGTTCGAAAATTCCAACGGTTTAGTATGCCATTAGAGATGATCTTGGATTCATCAGTCCATAGGATGTATGGAAGAATGTTTTCTTCGGCCTCCTAAATCGACATATGTGGAAGAAACGTCAGACACTTGTCATAATCAGAGTCCCGAAGTCCCTGGACAAGATGAGAGCGATACGGCTTAAAAGTGTATGTCCGGAGTATATCTCTAATTTTACTTTTTGAAAAAAACTCAAACATTTCGGAGAGAGGAATTCAGATTTTCGAGAAAACATACAGTTAAATATTAGTTCCCAGAAATACTGCTTGTGTCTTCTTTCCATAATTTTGTCATTTTTTAAGCAATTTAAAATTCGATTACACCATTGTTTTCAGCCTAAAAAGTCCTTTAAAGTGATGTGTGAGGGTGCATAGGATCGTATTTGAAATGTTGAAGTTGAACTAGGCTTGTGGTACTCTCTATAATTTTTCTCCAAAAACAGGTAAAAATTTTAACCTAGACTAAAATATATTAATCACATTTTTTTTAGATACCCCCATTGGTTCAACAGACATTTGTCTAAAGAGGACACCCTGTATATTCCAAATAGAATTATCAAAAAGATTAGACACCCAAGAGCATTGCAATGCATTTAACGCTGAATATAACAGTAATTACAATTTAATACAATATAATACAAATGTATAATGCATATGTAAATTTTCTTATAGATGACTAAATGCGATTATTGTTATCAAACATTCTAGGTTCATTTAATTTATAAATATGCTCCTATCTAGCAATATCAATATGTATACTCAAAATAATGTGTTAAATAACACAATTTTATTATCCCCCTGGGCAACGCCGGGACATGAAGCTAGTTAGTAATAAAATACTAAGCGGTACTTACTAATGGAAAGTGCATTGAACACGAGTTGATATAGTCTCATATATTTTTCATCAATCACACCAATCAAAGCTGGCGTTCCACAAGGAAGTATCCTAGGCCCAATCTTCTACACCATCTACACTGCTGACATGCCCACACATCCAAACACACAAATCACAACCTACGCGGACGATACCGCAATCTTATCAACACACTCCAATCCTATCCTAGCAACAGAAGCACTCCAACAACACCTGAACCTTATTACCAACTGGTGCAATCTGTGGCGGATCAGTTTAAACGAACAAAAAAGCCAACAAGTTACATTTACGCTCAAACGACAAACCTGTCCACCAGAGCAATTTACAACAAAACAATACCACTATCGAACCAAGTCCGCTACCTTGGACTTTACTTAGTTAGTAGACTTACTTGGAACCCACATACACGATTAAAACGGCAAGAACTTAACAAAAGATATGGACTACTCCGACACCTTGTTGGACCAAAATCAAAACTAAGCATACATAACAAACTAACCGCCTACAAAACACTCATCAGATCTATTTGGACCTACGGAGTCGAGGAGTGGGGCTCGGCCAAATCATCGAAAATCCAACGAATTCAGTCTTTTCAATCTAAAGTTCTCCGCCGTATCCTCAATGCTCCCTTCTATGTCACAAATCAAAGGATCCATAAAGATCTTAAAATCCCTTTCGTCAAAGACCTTATCCGAACACGCTTCTTCACATTTCACTCTAAACTCTCCCTCCACCCTAACTGACTAGCCCTAACTCTTTCCTCAACATCTCACCCTTACAATCCTCCGCGCCGTTTAAAACGACGTTGGCCTCGTGACCTTCTATCTAACCCACCGAATTAACTTTAACTCCCCCCCCCCAATTAAATAAAAGTTGGTTTCTCTCCCTACTGCCTGCTGGTCTGACAGGTCTGTCAGATTTGTTTATAACTAACTATTTGCTCAATGTATATTATGTACAGATAGCAATAAATAAAATAAACCTCTTTAAAAAAAAAATAAATAAATAAAATAAACGGTTGATATAATGTTGTTGCCAGCAATATTTTAAGATATAGTAATATTACGGTAAATTTAAAAAGTTAATATTATTTGCAGTTCATTAGATTTCGTAGACCGATTGACCAAATAACATCTCTCAATTAATTAATCTTTGTGTAAGGTATGGTTGAGATGTCAGTGTCAAGAGCGGGATTCGAACCCACGACCTTCGGCTAAAGACGCCGCTGCTCTTCCACTTGAGCTATCGTGACTTCTATCCAGTAGGACAGAACTTCCCACCTCAACCCACCTTTCGAATTTTCCCTCCTTTTTGCCATTTTTTTAATCTCAACCAATACCTTTGTTGTTGTTAGTTGCGAAGTCGTGTCCGACCCATCGCGACCCCATGTACAATGCTCCTCCACGCCTTCCTGTACTCCACCATCTTCCGGAGTCCGTTTAAGCTCACACCGACTGCTTCAGTGACTCCGTCCATCCACCTCATTCTCTGTCGCCCCCTTCTTCTTTTGCCCTCAATCTTACCCAGCATTAGGCTCTTCTCCAGNCTCCCTATTCTATTGTTTTCTTCTATTTGTTTGCACTGTTCATTTAAGAAGGCATTCTTATCTCTTCTAGCTATTCTCTGGAATTCTGCATTCAATTGGCTGTATCTTTCTCTTTCTCCCTTGCCTTTTGCTTCCCTTCTTTCTTCCACTATTTGTAGAGCTTCCTCAGATAGCCATTTTGCTTTCTTGCACTTCTTTTTCTTTGGGATGGTTTTAGTTGCTACCTCTTGTACAATGTTGCGAACCTCTGTCCATAATTCCTCAGGTACTCTGTCTATCAAATCTAGTTCCTTAAATCTATTTGTCACTTCTACTGTTTATTCATTAGGGATATGGTTTAGTTCATACCTGACTGGCCTAGTGCTTTTCCCTACTTTCTTCTTCTACCAATACCTTACATAAAGATTAATTAATTAAAAAAGGTTAATTGGTCAATCGGACACGAACTCTAATGGATTTAATTATTTGCAGTGAAGACTGTTTATTCGAAGCGTATTTACATCAATAATATATTTATTTCAATATTTTTCTCCACTTCATTAATTAAATATTATTGCATTCAACAGGTGTTTAAATATAACTTAGATGTTGACAAATTCATATTAAATGGTTTATTCAATACTCAAACGGGATTTGAAAGATAAGAACAGCTTATAATGATATGATGTGCGAATAACAGGGAGGAAATATAGATACTGTTAATTTAATTTTGAAGTGGCTTTTGGCTCGAAAGATGTGACGAAGAGTGAGAGAAGAGGAAGAGTAGCTTGGATGGAACACGCAATTGCTTTCAGCATTATGACGTTTTAAGAGGGTACGGCCGACTGTATAGTTGTGCTTTTATTATCCCTGATTAGCGCCAACAACGCACTGATGGTAGTTTCGTGTTCCTTCTGGAAGATTGGTGACGACCCTGCTTGTCTTTTCGATAGGGAGACCCTTGTTTTTCGCGATGGATTGCCTAAAAAAAAATATACATTTTGACCAAGTTTTGTTTTTTCAACGCGCGAACACGTTTCACTACTTTCTTACCACTTTTTCCTAAATTTAATTTCCTTGGAGTTAATTGGATCACTAATCATCCTAATAATTTTGAATTTGAAATATGCTATGAAATAATAGATAGTTCACAATAAAAATTGTCCTAGGAACTATTGAATTCTCTAAATCCATACATTTAAATCGAAATAATTTTAAAAATAAATACTGATAGATGCCCAATTGCACATGAAGAAATTGTCGTGTTCGTCAAGTTAAACGGGATGCAGTTGGATAACTAAATAGTACCCTTGTTCGTCAAGGGTTATCCTGGACTGCGTACTCTACCTAATGTTGCTAACAGACATACCGGAATGATTGGTGACAATTACACATATGATAATACATATTACCACATGAAAACAATTTTACTTGATATTAACATGGGCATGTTTTTGAACTAGTGCAAAATGTCTTTACATGACAGTTTTTGCGTGATCGATTTCGAATACTGGGAAGTGGAACTTGTTGGGTTCAGTTAGGTTAGCTTAATTAGGTTAGGGTTAGGTTCGCGCTAGGTTATGGTTAGATAGGTAAGTTTTTTTTGGTTTAGGGAGGTTTTTGTTTATGGTTACCGTTAAATTCAGGGACGGTCTATGATGTTAGATGAGGTTAGGTTCTGTCAGGTTTTGATTAGCCGTGTTAGGATTAGATTATGATTAACGTTAGGCTTAGATTTAAACTTAGGGACGGGTTAGGGTTCAATTAGTTTTAAGTTTTAGGGTTAAGGTTACAGTTTGCTTTAGATTTGGAGACAGTTTAGGGTCAGGTGCGGTACAATGCCAAATCCACATTGATGGTGACTACTCGGACGAGTTCTCTACACAGATAGGCCTAAGGCAAGAGTATGGTCTAGTGTGCCTTTTGTTTAATCTTGCCCAGGAAGGCGCAGTGAAGAAATCAGAAATCCAAATTTCTGGTGTCATATGTAATCGGGCTGCGTAAACACAATGCCGGTAATAGAAGTATCAGTGAAATGAATTTTGGCGTAATGAGTGAAGCCTAAGGCGATGAATATGGGATTATCCATAACTGAGTCCAAAACTATGTTGACGTAATCTACCGGACCAAGAAGGAGGACCAGGTTCGTAGAGGTAGAGCAACATATTTATGACCGTGAATAGCTTTGCCTCTCTGACTTCAGGGGTGGCGCTAGCAGCGATGATATGAATAATAAGGGAAGTATTTGGCTGCTATTTTGGACTGGTGGGTCATTTGAAGAGCCGCGTCCTATCCCGGGCGATCAAACTACTTCTCTAGAAAACACTAATTAGACCAGTCCTGTTTTCTACTTCCAAATATTACTATTTGTCTAAAGCCTAGGAAATACAGCTGATTCGAACGGAAAGGAAAATTTTCGGATATCGCAAAAGGACTAATGCCAAGGTAATGGATTTATACGAGGACTGCAACCTAGTTCGGTTCATAAAGACTGGCAGATTGAAATGGACCGGGCATGTGGCCAGAGTGAATGAGGACTCTTCCAAGTAGGCTCTTAGTAAAAGTAAAAGAGGATGCGCTGGCCCTGTTTGGTGTTCGGGATTGGAGTACCTCGGCTGTAAATAGGAGTGAGTGGCTGGCGGAATTTGCTGCAGTAGGCGTTTACCTTCACGGGTTGTTCCGTTTTCCAAGTAAACTTTTTAAGAAACTTATTTTTTTATATTCATTAGATTTCCTGGTCCGATTGACCAAATAACATCTTTCAATTAATTAATCTTTATGTAAGGTATTAGTTGAGATAAATTATTTTTTTTATATTTAAATTATGTGCAAATTCCAAGTAATTTGACTGTTAGCTGAAAAACAATGATTGGAAGCTTTAATTGATCAAATTTCATTGATGTCGAAAATTGGAATTATTTTTTTTTTAAATTAATTATCACTTTATGTAAGGTTTTAGTTAAAATGAGTGGGATTCGAACCCACGATCTTCGGCTCGATACGCCGCTGCTCAAACCACTTGAGCTATCGCGACTTCGATCCACCGGACACCAACCTACAATCTTTCGAATTTTCCCTACTTTTTGGCAATTTTGAAAAGTTGTGTAATCAGAATTTTCGGCGACATATGAAATGAAATGGCCTCGGGGAGCTGATAGTAAAGTTTTACTTCCTTTTACTTATAAAATCCATTATATTTAGTGGTCTGATTGACTAAATTACTTTTTTCGATTAATTAATCTTTTTATGTAAGGTTTAGATTGAAACGAAAAAGTCATTATCACGAGGGGATCGAAGTCACGATACCTCAAGTTATTAGAGCAGCGGCGTGACGCGCCGAAGGTCGCGGGTTCGAATCCCGCTCGTGGCACTGACTTTTTTCCAGAAACAGTATAATGATGCTGTTATCATTAAAATTACATTTTCCGATATATTTCCGCGAACCTATTCAATTATATCGCTCGAGATACTGGAATAACCACTGAAATCATAATGGATTTATGTGGTGATTACGGACCGTTAATCGATAATTATTCAGAAATCGTGAGATGCGGTCTGGTGTGATGTAGGTTTCAGAAAAACATTTTCTTTATCGTGCCAACGTTTCGATCTTAGGGCCTGGGATTTACAAATATTGTTTACATTTAACAAATACATTTAGGATGTGGAAAAGTGAATTTATACAATGCAAACTATATTTTTTACAATCAGTCAAAGTATTTCTACTCACTCACATAAAACAGCAAAATCTCACTGGCACTCTCAACACGACACGCAAGAATGGCACAATTACACAGGAGAAAAACACTTTGAGTGAGTAGAAATACTTTGATTGAATATAAAAAATATATATTGCACTGTATAAATTTACTTTTCCACATCCTATATGTATTTGTTAAATGTAAACAATGTTTGTAAATCCCAGGCCCTGAAGATGATTTCAATAAAGATCGAAACGTAAGCACGATAAAGAAAATGTTTTTCTGAAACCTACATCACACCAGACGCATCTCACGATTTCTGAATAAGAATGGATTTATTTTTAATGTTATTTTACCAAAAATTCAAAAACTTTGGCTAGTGTTAGAATAATTGTCCGAGTAATAATAATCCTAAGTAACCTGGAAATCAAAGGTATTGTATATTAAATATTATCGATGCTACTTCAATGAAGAAATGGCATTAACTTCCAACTAAAAACATATTTGAAAAAGAGAGTTTACATTGAAGTGGTGAAGCTTGGACAAATTTTGTTCATTCAATCGGGAACAAAAGTCTTTAATGAGAATTGCTAATTCTTACACGCAACACAAGCTAAATTATACTTACATACGCGTTTTTGTAAATTTTAATTTTTAAAACAGTTTTATATATTTCTGCCAAATAAATTTTTACCATCATGATAATAATTGATCGATAGATTGTAAGTTGTAGTGAATAAGTTTAATTATGCTTCTCTTCGTTCACTTTAAATGGAAGAGGATTAAAAAATCAGAATATTCAAAACCGAATTTGAGAAATGTTTCTGGGATGAGACAGATAGGCGTTGGAACGGCGTAAGTTTCATCTCAGGAGTTGGGCCCCGATAGCATTTCTCTCTCGGTCGGGGGGAAAAGTCGGCTGGAAAAAATCATTAAATCCGCTTTTAGTACCGTTTCTCAGGTAGACACATACGGACCTAACGCCGTAAGTCTCATTACTATTTTACGGGAATGAACTATAAAAAGAGGGGAGAAACCAATTTTGACGGTTGGATCGGCCGTCAGAGGACTTATAGACGTATTAGTGAGGCTTTGCGGCTTTTCTAACTGCCAATAACATAAAATACGCCCGTCTCACCGACAATTCAGCCCGCCGATATAAGAAGCACATTAATTTCCAGCACTCGCAATTTTTACGCACTCAATTATTACCAGAGTGAACAAGAAACGGCCATTTCGCTATTTACGAAAGATGTTTTCCATGTAAGATTGACGGATATGTTATCTTTTGTCTTTAATTAATCAAAAACAATTTGCTTCGCCTGACTTTATCACTCTCATGAGACAACTGACAAGTGGTCCTTTTGGAAAAAAATGACCGTTATATGCAATTTGTTGGTTGGCCAAAACGTTAATTATTCGGAGATCGTGAAATGCGGTCTGGTGTGACATAGGTTTTAGAAAAACATTTCCTTTATCGTGCCAACGTTTCGATCTTTATTGAGATCATCTTCAGGGCCTAGAATTTAAAAACATTGTTTCAATTTTACAAATACATGTAGGGTTTGAAAAATTTTGTAAAATTTAAACAATCTTTATAAATCCCATGCCCTGAAGATGATCTCGATAAAGATCGAAACGTTGCACGATAAAGAAAATGTTTTTCTAAATCCTACGTCACACCAGACCGCATCTCACGATCTCCAAATAATCATCGGCTAACGGTCACTAAACTCCACACATTAATCACATTGAAGTTACGATTTAATAAACACATTTTACATTAAACTTGTACAAGTTTAGGTTAATAATTTTTGAAATTAGTTCCTAAATAATTTGTACCTCCTTCCCACTTCTTCAGACGACGCTTTACAATACTTCACCTACTTTTAATTTTAACTAAACATTGAAGTGCCTATTTTTTTCGAACATGCGAAAAATATTGTTTCAAATATGTGTATAAATAAAAATTGTCTATTGTATATTTTGTCGTAGAAGGGTTAATTTAAACTACTAAAAGTTAAAGACTTTATTAAATATTATTTCTGACGTAATTATTTGTGCATAAAATTCTAAATAATATTATTTTTCTTAGCCTATTTTTAATCTCGGCTGGAAATAGTAAATTTCGAATTGAAAAAGTTGAATTTAAATAAGAATTTTGATTTGGAAAAGGTTCAATTTGATTAGGAAAAAGTTCCACATGATTAGGTAAAAATTAAATTTTTTCAAAAAAAAAAGTTCTATATTATTAGGTAAAGGTTGAGTTTGGTTAGGAAGAAAGTTCAATATCGATTTGGTTTAGATTAAATTTTGTTAGGAAAAAGTTCTACTTGATTAGAAATAAATTAAATTTTATTAAGAAAAATTCAATTTAATTCGGAAAAGGTTGGATTTGATTAAGAATAAGATTACATTTCATTAGAATAAACTGAACTTTTTAGTGTATAATAAATTGAATTTTGTTAGTAAAAGTTTCATTTGATTTGGAAAAGGTTCAATTTTTGTTAGCAAAATGTTCCATTCAATTTGCAAAAAGTTTGAATATGATTAGAAAAATATTCCCATTTTGAATAAGAAACAAGTGAATTTTGTAACAAAAATTTCCATTTCATTGGAATAAATTGAATTTTATTCCATTCACTAATTTCGTGCTCCGCTTGACCAATTAGTATATTACAATTAATTAAGGTTTTTTGTTGAGATAAAAAAGTCAATGGCACGAGCGGGATTCGAACCCACGATCTTCGGCTAGATACGCCGCTGCTTTACCACTTGATCTATCGTGACCTCGATCCACTCGGACACCAACTTCCCATTTCAACCCCACCTTTTGAAAAATGGCAAAAAGGAGGGAAAATTCAAAAGGTGGGGTTGAGATGGGAAGTTGGTGTCCGAGTGGATCGAGGTCACGATAGCTCAAGTGGTAGAGCAGCGGCGTATCTAGCCGAAGATCGTGGGTTCGAATCCCGCTCGTGCCATTGACTTTTTTATCTCAACTAAAAACCTTAATTAATTGTAATATATTAATTGGTCAAGCGGACCACGAAATTAGTGAATTTAATGATTTAAAATGAAGTATACTTCACTAAAGCTCTCCGTGGCCATTTCATTTGTCGCCGAGAATCCAATCCGATTACACGACATTTGAAAAATGGCAAAAAGGAGGGAAAATTCAAAAGGTGGGGTTGAGATGGGATGTTGGCGTCCGAGTGGATCGAGGTCACGATTGCTCAAGTGGCAGCGGCGTATCTAGCCGAAGATCGTGGATTCCAATCCCGCTCGCGCCATTGACTTTTTTATATCAACTAAAAACCTTAATTAATTGTAATTGAATTTTATTAGGAAATATTTCCATTTTATTTGGAAAAGTAGAATTTTGTTAGAAAAAAGGTTGGTTGTGGTCAGGAAAGGTTCCACTTGATTTGGAAAAGGTTGTGTATTTTTAAGATAATGTTCCATTTTTATAAGGAGCAATTGAATTTGGTTAGAATAAAGTTCCACTTTATTTGGAATAGGTTAAATAATTTTAGGAAAATGTTCCATTTGTAAAGGAAACAATGGAAGTTGATTAGAGAAAAAGTTCCATTTAATTTAGTAAATGATGAATCAGACTTGAAAAAAATTGAAATATATACCTAATCTTAATATATATAATCTTAATACAAAATCTACCAATTCTTCATCACGTCATCGCATTGTAACTGTTTTTGTTTTCTTCAATGTTAGCTTTATAGATTTTCAAGTTTATTAAATATCCAAACGACCAATTTAATGAAAAAGCATTGTTTTAGATAATATGTTATTACCCTAAAACATGTTATTAAAAACCACTTACCTTAATTGGTTTACCCTTTCCAAATAAAATTTTTGGTTTAATAGATACTTACTTTTATGTTTTGGCTACGTATGCTTCATATTATGGAGGTTTATTGACCAATTACATATTTCATTAAATGCCAATATTTTGAGAAAATAATTTATTTTTTACACATATTTTGCTGTAAGTCCTACTGCTGTATGAGTGTGAATATATTCCATTCTTCAACCACCTGACTGAATGTTATACAGACACTAGTTTTATATGTTTTAAATACTGCTAAATTATTTCATAAACCTATGTTACAACGCGATAACAAAACTTGGTCCGCCAATGTTTTGACATCAAGTTTTACGTTCATGAAGCAGCTAACGAAGAGCTGGACTATTCCTTCCATGTACGAATTTACGCCGCCCAGGATCAGTAGGAACTTTTTTCCTTCGTCTTCAAACCTGCCGGAGTTTTTTCTCAATTCACTGGATACGCAAGCCCACTAAAAAATTAATTTAAAAAAATTATAATGTAATGATAGTTGGTGTAATGGTTGGAAAATACCTTTTGGAGGAAGTTGCCATGACAACGGGATACGTCTTGTATCGCGTCGCACACCGTCGTCTCCATCTCGCGAAATACATTAGAAGTATTTCTCAAGTAGTAAACCAAGTTTTCGATTTTAGTCGTGAGCTGGACACATCTGTCCCATCTAAAAAGACATTAGAAATTTTAAAACAATTCTTTTGTAATCAAGATTTTCTATGGGGGAAAATAACATTATCGCAGATGCAGAGACTACGTAAGAAATTCAACAAAACCACCAAAAAATGGAAAACGTAACAGGCTCAGGAGGCGTGTTGGCGTAGTATTATTACAATTCTGCGGTGAAAACGTTCAATGTCTTCAGAATTGGTTAAGAAATAATTATAACTTTTCTGTCTAAAAAATTACCTTATTCTAATTTTAAAAATGCTATAACAAACGGTGCCCAATTATTAGAGGTACCTGAATGTAATACTTAAAATTACAGCTACAGCTGTTACAAATAAAATACAATTCATCACACTCTAAATAGAAATTGGTTGTACAATAAAGAGTTCTTATTTGAATGAGGTATCGCTACTGCGAAAATATGCTGAAAAAATATGTTCTAGAAGCAGAAAAACCGATATGGATTTTATAGATCATGAAAAGCGTTAGGACAACTTTTTCGTGATTTACGAAAGAGACAATAAGGATTGCTAGATTTACTATAAAACATAGTACATAACAACAAGTTATCATAACCATTACAGTCCAGGAAGGGCTAAAATCATAAAGGTGGCCTTTCACGATCACTCCAAATGGAACCGCGGCAAGCCGTACAGCTCCATTTGGAGTGCCTGAAAATTGAGGGGGTATTCACGACCACTCCACAGCCAGTCGCTCCGAACGTCAACCAGTGAATTACCTTCTCAAAATGGATGACGATCTCTTGTGCTACTCTTTTGTTTATTTACATATTAAAAGCAAAAAATCGAAGAGAAAATGGTGTAAGAAGTGGCTCCTGAACAGAAGCCGTAATACCCACATCAATTTGATGAAAGAACTTTCCCTTGAACCCGCAGATTGGAGGAACTATTTAAGGATGGATGAAACGTCTTATTTATTCATTATATTTAGTGTTCTATTGACCAAATTACTTATTTCAATTATTTAATATTTTTTGTAAGGTTTTGGTTGAAATGAAAAAGCTAGTGCCACGAGCGGGATCTGAACCCATGGCCTTCGGCTAAATACGCCGCTGCTCTACCACTTGAGCTATCGTGTCTTCGATCCTCTCCGACACCGAAAAATGGCAAAAAGAGAGAAAATTCAAAAGGTTGTAGGTTGAGATGGGGAGTTGTTGCCCGAGTGGATCGAACTATCGAAGTCAGTATAGCTCAAGTGGTTAGTGCAGCGGCGTATTAGGCGAATGTCGTGGATTCGAATCCCCCCGTGACACTATTTTTTCATTTCAACCAAAACCTTACAAAATAAAGATTAACGTCTTATTTATATTTTCTCCAGCTTTTTACCCCCTTGATTAGAAAACAAAAGACAGTCATGACAGAAATCATCACTACATGAAAGGTTGGCAACCACATTACGATTTCTCGCTACAGGGATGAACTACAAAAAACTTAAGTTCTCTACTACGATTTTTGATCATTGTTAGGGGTAATTAATACAATATCAACTGGTTGAGGATCGAATTTCTTTTATTTCTGTCGTGGTAATATAATCATTGTCCACCACTTTCATAAACATGGCAAACGTTCATACAATTCAATCACCTCAACAATAAAATCTCGATTGGATGTCATTACCAATAAACAATAAACGTTTTTGACTTTTTGAGAATGTACGACGGAGATGTTTGCTCAGTGACAGAAAGACGGAGACTGAGCCAAAAAATTTCGTTTTCCCATTCACGACCAGGCCACCGCGCCAAAATCCCCACACTCCACGCCAAATTTTCCCATTCACGAACGCGCCATGCCGTCGTCGCGCCGTAGATATTTGGAGTGGCGCGATGGAGTTTGGACCGGTCGAATATTCGGCACAGCCGGGCACGCCAGTTCAGTTTTGCCATTGATGTGGTTTTTGGAACGGCGTCGCTCCGTTTGGACTGCTTGAAGCGATCGTGAATGGCCACCTTAATGCTGTTCGTCAATCTCTATGTAAAACAGTCGTACTTTAACTAAACAAAGCATCACAAACATCAATAAAGAATTTTTTGCCAATTATCGAGTTGTGAACAAGCTCGGAAATTTGACAAAAATATATGCAAAGTGGGACATGACATAATCCGTTTTCGTGTTGTCCAAAATTTTAAATACTTCGGAGCATAAATGAAATTATTGATACTGACATCTTGGACTACAAAACTAATAAAAAGGAAGTTTTTAAATAATTAAATTTGCTTTTTCCAATTCCGGAATCTAAGGTAGGAAAAAGGTTGACAAGATCATCAATGAAAGCATAATGTTTTACGGCTGTGAAGGTCTTTGATCTGGAGCAGTGTTTCAAAAACTAGAAGGAATGGATTAAAAGAAGAATCCGACGCTAAAGATTAGATAAGATCCCCAATAATGTAATAAGAAATCAACGCCCTAGAGGACATCGGTTAAGAAGATAGAGGACTAGATAAAGAATTGAGCATCTGTATGGCCACGTAATACACATTGGCAAAAACAAATGGCTTTAGTGACCCCTAAACCGAGAGAGTAGGCAGACCCATTAGATCAAGTTTCACATGTGTTCATCGACTCACATAACCACGACCAACTACCAAAAACTAACGTTAACTTGCACTATCCGAAAATAAAGAATAGACGAAGGTCAAAAAAACCCTGCGGTCCATAGTGAAGAAATTTATGTCTAGATATGTTTTAAATGAAGATGACATGAAGATGAAAATTTAAGAACAGACAAGATTATTGTGCCACCACGGTCTATGTCTACTTGTTTTGACTAATATTCTCTGATATCAAAAGGAATGGCATTGAGACGTAAATTCTTAGAATACTAATGAATAGAAATAATATTGAAAGTAACAACTTATTGAGTCTGTAGATAATTAACCAAATTTCGTTAATTATTACAGAATCGTAAATTTACCGTCTGATGTAACCACTGCACTTACCGATCTCCAATCATCAAAACGACCTCGTCCAAGTCATTAAAAACAGCGACCCGGTTCTCGCATTTGGCCGACCCCGCCTTGATTTTGGCTTGTAGGACGTAATTGTGGGTGTATTCTTGAAGCTGGCTTTTGTAGTTGTCGTGGTGGTTGATGATGGTGGTCTTCGAGTCATTTCCAGCGTCCGTGATTTGCTTGATCCCGCTGCGAATTTCTTCTGCGAACGTCCTCACATATTCCAGGGCCTCTTCAACTACATTTCCCTAAAAAAATAATATATATTAGTATTATATACGTATTCACAATTTTAACATGAATGCATCATAGAACACTCGGCAACTTAGATAAAAATTGAAGCCAGAAATATATTTTGTTAAAAATATAAAATTATATACAAAAATACAAAATTAAACGATGTAACAAATTTCAAAAAATTGGGCTTTAAAATCTAAAAATTCTAATGTAATCGCTTTATGATTTTTATTCACTGTGAAAAAACTGCTTCCCCCGACTTGCTTACGAAATCCGGCAAAAAATACTTCCAAATAAGAAGAGTTTGCACATTTCCCTGTTTGTCCTCTAAATATAATATCATTATGGGAGAATAATCTCGAGAGGTCTTTATACAAAACGATATTTTTTAATTAATATCTTATGATAAGATTCGACATTGACTCATTAAAACCCAATTCTAACTTTGTTCAAATTTCCTTCCACTTTGTGGAAGAAATACAAGACGAACGACGTTAAACTAAATTTTATTGTATTGGCAATTGATGTAAATTTTAACTAAGGATTAAAACATTTTAGTAATTTTTTGAGATTACTCAAAAGCTTCAAGTCTCTACAAAATAATTTTCATGTGCGATTTTTTTTAATCAAACATATACTTCAAATTTGTAAATACGTAAATTACTGATTTATTGAAGAAGTTGGAGAAGAATTCTTTTTTCCGAAAAACAACGTTTGAGGTTAGTTTTAGGGAAATAAATTAAAAAACCAGTTGCTACAAATGAAAAACCGTTTTGACCGTTGAATTCAGCGTCAAAACACCTCTAAAAATATTCATTGATGAGTATTTTGCTATTTGAAATCGTTAAGACCATATTCGTATCCTGCCATTCTGGTGAGTTATGATCACCATTTTTTCATAAGAAACCGAACTAAAAATTAAAGTTTATGTTTTTTGGTTTTGGTTTTCTCCAAAAACGACTCAATAAAAATAGAAGGGTAAGTAATACATATAATNATATATAAAATAATAGACACTTTTTTTACTACCAACGAAGTTTCTACTTCTATGAGGCCATTTATATGGATAGTGACAAGAACCTCCATTTTAACTGAAAACTATTTGTTCAATGTTAATTCCGGTCCAGACATGCGGTCTTTGCAGCTATTCAAGGCATATTCATTCTCAGCGGCGGCATAGGTATAGCAACTCAAGTACTTAAAATCAAGGCATTTTTGCTCACCTTGCGCACAGAATACATTTGCAAACGAGAGGAGAGTTGGTTATGACAGAAAGAATAAGACTTGTAAGTAAGCATAGAAAAGGAGATTATGTGTGTAAATATATGTATGTAAATATATTTATTTGCGCGAATATAAGCTGTCGTATTCTCATTAAGCATGTATTCATTTACTTCAAGAAAACTTGTACAGACAAAATGACACTTTTTTCACGTTCGTTCATCGGTGAGTGAGAGAAAATGTGTGTAAGAGAGAGCGAGAGAGAGAGGGAGGGAGGGAGGGAGGGAGAGAGATAGATAGATAGAAAGCGAGGGAGAGTGAGAGAAAAGTGTGTAAGAGAGAGAGAGAGAGAGAGAGAGTGTGAGAGAGAGAGATAGGGAGAGGGAGAGAGAGAAAGTGTGTGTAAGAAAGAGAGAGTGTGAGTAAGAGGGAGTGAGGGAGAGGGAGAGAGAGTGTAAGTGAGAGAGAAAGAGAGAGAGAGAAAGTGTATGTAAGAGAGAGAGAGAGAGAGAGAGAGAGAGAGAGTGAGAGAGAGGGAGGGAGGGAGAGGGAGAGGGAGTGTAAGAGAGAGAGAGAGAGAGAGAAAGAGAGAGAGAGAGAGAAAGAGAGAGTAAGAGAGAGTGAGAGAGTGAGAAAGAGGGAGGGAGGGAGAGGGAGAGAGAGTGTAAGTGAGAGAGAGAGAGAGAGGGAGAGAGAGAGAAAGAGAGAGAGAGTGAGAGAGAGGGAGGGACGGAGAGGGAGAGGGAGAGGGAGTGTAGGAGAGAGAGAAAGAGAGAGAGAGAGAGAGGGAGGGAGAGAGGGAGAGAGAATTACAGGGAGAGAGTGCGTGTGTGAGAGAGAAAGAGACTTTTATACTTCTTTTTGTGGATTTATAGGAAAATCCATAAAATCATGGTAGAATTAATTATCCGCCGAAAATACCGCAAGTTCTTTTCTTAGGAACCCGACACTGCTATAGTAAACAAAAAGAACAACAAAAAACAAAAAAAGTTAAATCCTAACTCCCTATTATTTTTGCAACGCATCAATTTTCACTTTAAAAAAATTGTTGTCAGATAAAAAGGGTATCACCATAAACTTTTGTTTTCTCAAATACAACGTGTTTTTATTATGCATATTTTAAAGTAGATAGTTTTTTTTATTATGAAAAATCAATTTTTTCATCAAAATCTATCATTGATTTTCCGAGATTATTAAAAAAAAGTTTACGAGGTTTTTCTTAGTTTAGCCTGTAATTTCATCATCAGTCAGTCTCAAGCCTGGTTGAGAATGCGAGAGGATAAAATCACAAAAAATTCATCAAGAGTTGTGCATCTGACAAATATGGAAGTAAAAACTTTGTGTTTGCCCTCAGCTGTACAACTTTAAAAAAAAATAAAGAATGATACCTTACAAAATCTGAAAGAATTACAATTTAACTTTTTTGATACCTTCTTTATAAAGATTTGTATTATTGGTGCAAAAAGGGACACCCTAGGTAATATAATAACCTTGAAATACTCGCTTAACAAAGACAGAAACCCATATATTATTATTTTTTAAATGAATTTTGTTGTACAGATTTGAAAATCTTGTCAAGTATTTATATAAAACATTTTTTTAATGTGTGGTGATTAGTGACCGTTAATCGAAATTTATTTAGAAATCGTGAGATGCGGTCTGGTGTGATGTAGGTTTCAGAAAAACATTTTCTTTATCGTGCCAACATTTCGATCTTTATTGAGATCATCTTCAGGGCCTGGGTGAATTTATACAATGCAAAATATATTTTTTATATTCATTCAAAGTATTTCTGAATGTAAACAATGTTTGTAAATCCCAGGCCCTGAAGATGATCTCAATAAAGATCGAAACGTTGGCACGATATAGAAAATATTTTTCTGAAACCTACATCACACCAGAGCGCATCTCACGATTGCTAAATAATTTTTTTTTAAATTTTAGACATTTTTCTTTTAAATTAAAGTTATTATATATTATAAGCTCGTTGGATTAGTTTCTACTTTGAATCTCGTTGGATCTCGTTCATAATTAAGCTAAGCGTCAAAGTGGATTAATAACGTCGGTCGAAAACGTTCCGTCGGTCGTTTTACTGCTTTTCGTGTAATTAAGACGGCTAAGGGTGTGGACACAGGTGATTGGGCGAACCGGACATTAAGCTCAAATGTCCAATGCCTCTGATTAGACTCCGTTATGAGGACGCCTCACTCCAGTTCCAGGATGGTAACGACTTCCTCTGGAAATAGTGATTGGTTATTGCAATACTCGATTAAAAACCAGCTCGGATGAACAAATCCCGATTGGTTTGGCTGGTAGAATGGAATTATGGGGAACCTATGCTAACTAGAATCGACAAATAAAAGGTAGTTCTCAGTAGAAATATCCAATATTATGCCATTTAAAAAAAAATCAAGTCAAATTGAAAGAAAAACGTAATTAGCTGAATGGAAAGTACCCATCTTAAAACAGTACATTACATCGTGCAGTATACAGCTAAAAATTATATATACAATATTTTAATGCTATGCATACAACATGCACATTACATAAAAAGAGATGGGAAAAATTATTAATCTAAATGCTATCTGTTAGGAGTTATTCTATTCCAAACAAGCAAAAATTTGCATAGTCGAACCAACAAAAAGCTCTTCTCTTTATATTATTATTTCTTTTAATTTAGTAAGTTAAACATTAAATTTGTTAATTGTTCGTTCGAACCACATGCATTGATAGTATACAGTGCAAATTGACAGCGAGGCTGACCCACGCAGCAATTGGCCATACCAGTCGAATTAGCCCGCTAAATAAGCTATTTCAGAGCAAGTCCTCGCTAAGACTTCTGCACCAAATCAAGTTAGGGTGTTCTAATTGAGTTCCGTTATAGTTCGGTTCGGCTCCCTGGGAGGAAAATCGATCCTGTTAAAAACAGAGTTATGTAAGATAAAGAGATTTTTCGGCAAACTTTATGATTCGATAGATACAGGAATTAAAAAAAAATTTATTCAACGTGATATAAGCAAGATAAAATAATATTTAAACTAAAATAATTTGAGTTGTACTAAAATAATTTTTACAAAGATTTTTTTTAAAAATAAAATCTGTAGGAATAAAGTGCAGTAACAATAAGCAAAAACTGTACTCGTGTGATTTAAATCAAGTGACGCATTTTACAATATAATTTCTGATAAATAATTGTACAATTTTCACAAATTAAAAAGGATTAATTCATACAAATATGAAACTAAGGTGCAAGAATTGACTGGGTAGTACCGAAGTACCAAATCGCACCAGTTATCCAAAAAAAGATAAAAGTATGCAAGATGATTTAAAAAAGTCATTGTTATAAATGTGTAATGTCAGAATGAACCAAATATTTTATTAACACGATTATTTGGAGATCGTGAGATGCGGTCTGACGTTGGAAAAAAATTGCCAGATGTTTTTATGAATTTACCAAAATATTCAGCGAGTGAGATAATTTTTATAATGAGTTACGTCATTAATTACATAAATAAAAATCATAATTCTAATTATGCTCATGTTTTGAAAAGCCTTGACGTTTCGAGTTTAGGTTAACCTAGATTTTTCTTTTGCAGTGGACTTACCCCCGCGTAGGCAGTGAAGGACAGCAGGACGAGGATCCAAACGTAGTTGCCCATTGAAAAAGATTTAGCAGTGGACAATAAACTGGCGCGAAAATAACCTCGTACTCACTAGATATCACAAGTAGTCCCCTCCACCGCTCAGATATCACCTCGCCCCTAATACTTGAAGTATTTAATTAATGAACTCACGCATTGGTAAAATTCAATAGGACAAAATCGTTGACTTGCGTAGATTTGGGTGAATAAGTAAACCACTGATACAAAAAGGATCAAAGGAGCGAATGGACTACGTGCTCGACGACGCTAGAACAGGTTTGCGTTAATGTACTAATTTTGTAACATTGATTCAAAGTTAAAGATATCTGTTATCGTTCAATTTGTTAAATCCTTTCCATCGTTATTTGTTTTCGTCTTGAGGTTCACAATTAATGGTCTAAAAAGCATTTCTACTTGATATGAAAAAATAATAAAAGAAACTATTCGTAAAATCTATACAATAAAAATGCCGACAATTGTTGATATGTGATCGGTGCATGATGACTCAAAAAATAAATTTACTCTAAACGTTTAAAAATAAAAATTACCATAAGTAATTCGAATACTGAAATAACACGAAATAATTTTTATAACATTATTAATTGAGATTTTTTTTTCTAAAACCAACAGTTTTCGTCCTTCCGATCATTTTGGTCTCGTTATTTTGCCATGTCTGTCGGATTTGGGCGTTTTGCAATATATATTTAATAATTTTTTTGTTTCTTAGAAAAATCACCTTTTTTCGAAAAATCTTCAAAAATAACGTATCGCTTTGTTTCAACAAATACATAGAAGACTTCTGCAATACGCTATCCTCTTCTAGGCATACAAATATTATAAGTTTCCCACAAAAAACACCACATTTTTGGTATGTAGCCGAGATATACAATCTGCGCACGTACCACACAAACATACCATTACCTAAATCTATACGGTGGGCTTCTATGGGTAATCTAAATTTCGATCGTACCTTCATTCACACAAAACATCTCTATACAACTTTCACATAAGTACATCGAAAAAACTTGCTAATAAATACGGTTTCTCTTATATACTTCATACATGCTTGACTATTAACAATTAAAAACAAACAAAAAACAAACCGGTCCTCGAAAATTCCTTCAATGGCACTCCTCATTCATACATGCACAAATAACTAACCTAGATGTGGGCCGTCAAGGAATGGGATGTTCCATCGAACGGCCTGTTTTCATTCTCGCTAATAAATACATCCATCTGTTAAAGTAAGAGAAGATAAATGTACGAGGGGGCAGATTACATTATATCTTACACCAATGAAGAAGAAGAAGAAGAAGAAGAAAAATAACTTTATTCTGGGACTGGTGTCCCCTTAGAATAATTTACATGAGACAAAATATAATAACCTTCTATGAAGTCACATAATTTAAAAAAAAAGGAAAAAAAAGATAGATAGAAATCGTGGCACAATGTATGCCAGTGGTATATTAAACAAAGACAAAAATAATAAATGTTATCGTGAGGTCTCTGCTTGGAGGGAGAGGAGGTGATTATAAAGATGGGATTTAAATGAGGAGAAGGAGGCAGCGTGACGAATAGATAGGGGAAGGGAGTTCCAGAGTTTAGGGGCTCAGATCAAAAAGGATCTTTCGAAGGTATGGGTTGTATGTTGCGGAAGGATAAGGTCGATTGGGGATGAGCGAATGATAATTGAAGATTTAATTAAGTGTAATAAACAAAACATTTTTACACAAGTTTTAAAACGTGACCTTAATAGGGTGTAGATAAACATTCAGTATATGAAATCCAACACAACAATATCTTAAATTTATTAGGATGTGCATACATAATACATTATATTTCAATAATTACTGTTACATTTTTATGGCACGTCTAATTGGTAACTGAAACGTTTTTCTTTACATGAAAATTATAATAAATTGAACCCCTTTATCCAGCCAGTATTGTAATAGCAAAGTATTTTGTTAAAATTGAAATGAAAATTCAGGGATAAGACCAATTTAAAAGCGATAAAAACAAGCTTTCGATGTATATATCCCCTTCATCACGAGTTTTAAAATATTATCATTTAAAAGGAAAGCAAATATGTACGTTTATTTACAATTTAAAACGTTTATAACGTAGTAAAATTATGAATATAATTTACTGAGAACAAGATAAAACAGCTACCTATTCTAAGATATCTAGGATATATTTTTTCAAAGCTTGATGAATGACCTGAGTTTTTCTTTCAGAGTGGATACATCCTTATTTTCAACAGCAGATTATGGGGGCGTCTGTGGCCACGCCGGTTAAGGCGTTGACACGGCGCTCAACACTTCGAGATAAAGGTGCCGGGTTCGAATCCAGGCGTTCCTACCACATTACCTAAGCCAACCACCGTTAATGGCCATACCCTACGAAGCCCCAATTGGGGTCAGCATGCCATGCTTGGAGCTACAAGCATGACTAACATTAAGTGGTTTTAAATAATACAAAACAAGTTTTTAAGAGTACCCACCTCGTCCCCACGTTACACAAGGGTCCCAGACTTGCATGCTTTAGTTGAAATGCCATGAATTAGGGAGGAGTTAAAATACAGGACCCAAAAAATTTTTTCTCCAAAAGTCTACATCGAAAACTCCGTATGTGCTTCAATCGGCACATATGATTGTCTAAGATCTTGGAAGCACAGGAGAATAAAACATATTTTATCCTCCTGAATCTCGACCTTCTTACTTATTTAACTATCTGTTACTTAATAACTTATAAAAATATTTAACCACTAACCTACTGATTTAATTTATTAAACTGTTAACTTGTTAATTTGTCAATTTGTTATTCATTTGTTAACCTAACTTATTTATTTGATTATTTAAACTAACTTATTTATTTATTTTAAACTAAATATTTCACTGTATATACTATATCAGACCAACTTACTAAATTAATACCTTTTGTTTTGCTGACAATTGTTATAACTGTTATTCTTCGTAAAATTAATAATTAGTTCTTCCAGTTTCTGAACAATACTGTAATGATTTTGTTAATGCAAAGGACTTGTTAAAGTAAAGGTAAATGGGTTTTTCGTGAACATTTTCCCACCAACATCGACAGTAATGTTTTTCAGGAGGTATGGTACACAAATGAGATATGCTAAAAAGGACGCATAGGGCCCCGCCACTTTCCCTCAAAAATACATATGTACCCAAATTTCTTATTGTTAGAAAATATCTTGTCAAATAAATAATATAATATCTAATATCACCGTTAATGAACAAAATTTTAGTAGGAAGAAGGTATCAAAAATTAGATCACTAACAGATGTTCAATACATTAAAAAAAATTATAAACCAGAATGGAATGAATATGGATAGAATATTCCTCAACATTTAACAATATAGAGAAATTGTTTACAGAAAATGAGACGGCAGAAATAAAAAATATGTGAACTAATGAAATACCTATAAATGACTATAAATACTGTTTAAACAACAGAATCTCCTTAAAAATATGTTATTTTTCAATTTTCTTGCTTAATTGTGCAATTCAATATAAAATATTAATTAATTAATTAATCGTTATGTAAGATATTGGTTGAAATGAAAAAGTTAGTGTCACGAGCGGGATCGAACCCACGACCTTCGGCTCAATACGCCGCTACTCTAACCACTTGAGATATCGTGACGATGGTTAGAGCAGCGCCGTATTGAGCCGAAGGACGTGGGTTCGAATCTCGTTCGTGACACTAACTTTTTAATTTCAACCAATATTTTCATAAAGATTAATTAATTGAAAGAAGTTGTTTGGCAATCGGACCGCGAAATTTAATGGATTTAATAAAATATTAAATTAAACTTAGAATTAATCATCATTAGTTAATTTATTTTTTGATGTTAGTGATGATGAAATCGCTTTTTCGAGGTTGGTTTTGTAATTAATAAGGAATGGGAGGAATTCTTTGATCGTACTAAGCGAAAACTGGTATTATTCAATTATGTAATGACAGATTTAATTGGAAATTAAATCCCTCTGTCTTTGTCAATGGTCAAAATTACAATATATACTTATTCAAATTAGTCCAAAAACCACTGATTATCAAACACCAAACACGTTATTCACAAGTTTATTTGAATTTTTAAGTCGTTCTATCTAGCTTGATTTGGTCAACTTTAATTATATTTAGTTTTAAGGAATTGAAGGAAGAATTGGGAAAAAATTTGTATATAAAAGGACAAGGCCATTTTTTATATCAAAACCCGAGATACAATGATAAAAACCAATTAATCCATCATCTTCTTAATCTATCCATCTTAAATTAGAATTCCTAATCCCAATTGGGCAAATAAATAATTTTTTTCTTTAATAGGAAATATATAAATCTGATGATAATTGATATTTATGCTGATACAAGTCATGAAAATCATGATAATTATCATCCAAATTAGTAAATAGAGAGTTACCCATGCCCTTAACCGTTTGTAACAATGGTGATGAATAACCCAACTCGGTTATGTTTCTAGCTGATACGTTGGTACACATGGCAGGCCGCGTTTTAGGCTGATGATATTCTCAATGATGAGTCGTTTGACGATATGTTGACGACTGTGTGATTACCCCTATCTCTAAATTTTTACGCGGTGACTTGTAACCTGTTGCCATTCTCGTTTGCCAAATTTCATAAATGAAGAGTCTAGATTTTTCATAAATGAAGTCACTATGACCAAAAACCATAGATTTTACTATATACTAAAGGGGGCTCGTAAAAATGGTACCTGCAACCATGATGGACACGACGTTGACCCTTCGTTTGTTCTTTGAAATACTTCATCAAACTGGTATTAATGCATGAGGTAGTTAACCCCAAGAAAAACCTCAAATGAACAACTTAGAGAAACTTGCCTCACCAGCTTTTCAAGCTTCACATTGAATGACGGTTTAGCACGAATTTGCGTTACCAAATTGCACAAGAGGTGCGTTTTTTGTTAATGACCGATTGTTTTATTATTTGTTGTTCTAAACTACTTCATTCTTGACCGCTCCTCACGAATTCAACAAATAAAATTATTTGCACACGATGTTGAAAGTTTTCTTTGGGGAAAAGGTTATTGAAAGATAAAAAATGACAAAAATTTCCTTCAAAATTCGGCACTTGCCTCCCCGATCAACTGCTCTGCAGAATAAACCGGATATGTTTACATAATAACATATACACATTTCCTCTTACCGTGCAAATTTGGGGGGGAATCCATGGGATTCCTAATGGAAGGAATAAATCCGCCAATGCCCTCCAAGGAATAAATCGTATCCAAAAATATTTTTGTTTTATCATCGTATTCTGCATGTAATACAAACCAAATTTATGATTCGGTTCTAAATTTGTTCAAATTCTACATTTATAATAGCCTCACAACCCGTGATTGATCTGAATGCGCCAAGTTGCCGCGTAAAATTGTCGATAGACTCTATGAACCTAAGCCAACTCAGGCATCTTGGGTATGTTAACCTGTACCACCGAGTATGGATATGTAATTCCTGTCAGTGTTCTAGTCGTGTTTCTGGTTTATTAAAAAAATGTTACCTCTAATAATAGGTGTTGAGTTTGCCTACGTGTTGTTACTTTATCTTATATTTATTAAGTTTATTTGTTAATATAAATTTTTTTAAATTCAGTTTGCCTAAATAAAAGTTCAATTTACGCCTTAGAAGGTGATATGGTTCAATGATCTTGAAAGACATTTGGTGGGGTGGGATGCTCACTATTCTTCGGAGAAGAAGCAGAAGAAGAAACCCGGCCTCATATTTCATTCATAATTCGGTAAAAATGATACATTTTAGGCTTCGTCTACCATAAATAACGGTCAATAATAAAAAATATTATCAAAACGAAAACTTTTGCACTTTTTTTCTGTTATTGTTGTAATGGACGTGCTTTGAAAATTGGATATATTTCCGTTTCTATCTGGTAAAGTATTGGTTAAGTTCTACAGTTTTGCATTACACGCGGGTGTGGCGGGTTCAGAGTCATCTTTACCATTTTCTACTTCACTTTTACCGACATAAAGAAAATAATTAATGCTTCTCACTTGAATGGCACAATATGTTTATTTAATTGTTTTAATTGGCGTTGGTTTAGATGAAAAAGTAAGGGTTACGATCGGGATTCGAACCCACGATCTTCGGCTGAATACGCCGTTGCTTTAGCCACTTGAGCTATCGTGATTTCGATTCACCCGGACCACTATGATCTTAGATTAAAAGTATAATTAATTAAATTTGTAATATGGGCCAATCATGATTTTGATGTGGGTTTTCAATTTATGTTTTAGTGATCAATTGACCAAGTTACTTCTTTCAATTAATTCTTCTTTTTAATTTAGGTCTTGTTTGATATAAACTAATCAATGTCACGAGCGGGATTCGAACCCATGACCTTCGGCTAAATACGCCGCTGCTCTACCACATGACCTATCGTGACTTCGATCCTCTCGGACGTCGACTCTCCATCTCAAACCACTTTTCGAATTTTCCCTCCTTTTGCCATTTTTCAAATGTCGTGTAATCGGATTGGATTCTCAGCGACTTATAAAGGGGCCACGGGGAGCTGTTATTGAAGTGATTCTTCTTTTACTTATAAAGGTCTTGGGTGAGGTAAACATTTCAAAATGGCAAAAAGGGGCCAAATTCGGTTTTAGGTTGAGGTGGAGAATTGGTGTCCGAGAGGATCGAAGTCACTATAGCTCAAGTAGTAAAGCTGCGGCGTATTTAGCCGAAGGTCGTGGGTTCGAATCCCGCTCGTGACACCGACTTTTATATGGCAACCAAGACCTTATATATAAAGAATAATTAATTGAAATATATGTAATGTTCTTATAATTTAATAAATATCATAAATCGATAAATATATAATGAAATATTAAATAAATAATAAGTTAGTAGATTTGTCCAATTAGATATTTATATAAATATAAAATATTGAATAAATTGTTAAGAAATAATAACAATATTAGCACAACATCGAACAATGATTTAATTTTTATTTGATTAAAATATTGTACTGGACTTTGTCTCCGAGTCTTTTTTTTCCAGAGTCTAACCGTCGTGGAAGCGGAGGAGGATGTGGTGCAGAGTTGTCAAATAGAATTGGATGAATGATAATAGCGCCTTTCAGTCTGGTATAAGCAATAGTGACAACATCAGCAACTAGTGGTAGTTCTTGGTCATTGTGCAAGGTGTTTCACATACCAAGGAGCTCCTGTGGTAAGTCTCCACACTCTCTCAACTTGGGATTTACTCGCCAAGGCCATTTACTCAGGCCCAGATATATTGGTTTGATAATTTTCAAGCAAATTTGGCATTCCAAGTTCAAAGGCAGTTTAGCCTTTGAACTCAAAAGGTAGGGTCTAATTCGGTACCCTAAGAGCTGACGGTTTGTCCAGTATGTTTGCTCCATAGTAGTTTCGCGTCTAAGCTCATTCAAAGCTACTTGACGAATTTTTACCCTTGAAGACTTAGAGATTCTGGTCGGACAGATATTTTATAGATAAAACAGAACAGTTTGGACTATTTTTCATTCAGTTATCCTTTCCATTTCTTATATAATTGTTTCACTTCATCAGCGAATGACTGTAACCTTAAGAACGGTATGTCTGGTTCTCCCCTTGACAGCGCGGCCAACTTCTGCAAAACGTGCCAGTTTAAGGTAAACAGTTTAGTGTAGCGCATGCAGTATGAGAATTATACAGATATTTTAAATCCCAGAACGGATTAACTGAAATTGATGTGCTTTAAAGGATGAGAACTGCAATTTTCATATGACTGTTATTATTATTATTAATTTTTAATGGCGTTTCAAGGGGCGTCGGTGGCCGCAAGGTTTAGTCTTTGACACGGCGCTCATCACTGCAAGGTAAAGGTCCTGGGTTCGAAACCAGCGGCCCTACATTCGAAAAAAAAAAGGGCGTTTCACGCCCTAACATCCAAACCTTCATTCTTAGGTTAGCGATATCTCTTCTGAGTACTATAAAGCTCTGACTTTAAACATTCACTCATAACCTAATCTATCCCTCTAAGTTTTAATTTATTCTTTTAAACTTCTTAATTTGGAATGCCAAATGTGTGCAAAAATCCCATTTTAGATTATAAAATATATTTCTCTTCTTTAGTTAGAATTTCGAATTTTTGTTCCATAATTTAAACATTTCCCATAGACTTGTATGGCTAATAACAATAATAATAATGGAGTCAGACTAGCAACAGTCTCAGCATGAGTATAGGCTTTCCTTATCATTTTATTCTTCCATTCAAATATCATTAAGAAACTAATGCTACTTAACAATAATAAGAAACAAAAACACAATAAAACTTTTTATTCTTTATCTTCTTTTTTTTAGAGATCTATCTTTCTTGTTTAAATTTTCAGTTTGGACATCGTAATTTATTACCCCGCAATTTGTATTTCCTTCTTCATTTTTCCGCTCCGGCAGCCTCAAAAATTCCTGAAAAAAAAAGAAATCTTGTGCGTACAACTCTCATTCAAACATTAGCAGACAAACATTCAATTGTACAACAATTTCGAAAAAGGTCTAAACCTCATTATAAATTCAAATAAATTTGACAAAGCTGAGAAGTACTCTTAGAAACAAACGCTGGGGACTCAGTAACCCCTTTAAATCACTCGAAAGGTTGACCCTTTGCCTAAAGGGATGCAGAGTGCGACAGTCGACCAAAATATATTTCACAGTCAGAATGATACGTTCTCCACTTCGCATACATCGAGGATAAGTTGGAAGGCTGTTGCTTATTAAAAGCCTATTATGGATTAGCCTGATGTGACCTATTCGCAATCTAGAGAGAATCACAAATTCTTTTCTCTCAAATTCCTCAGTTGGCCATTTATGTACAACTGGCTTAATTTCTATCATACTATCTCTACACATTCCATCTTGCCGCCCACTTTCGTTTGATAATGTTTTTAACATAAACGACTACATCAGCGGAGTTGAAAATGATCTGTCCATTGCGTCATATGACCGTTGTTTTGAATTTTCTTATCAAATGTTTTATTATCTTAAAGTAAAAAGCGTGTTACAGTGATTGACCGATTGGTGTAGAATTATTGATTTTAGCAAATGATATTAGCTTTGGTTAATAAATAAAAATGCATATTATTCCGTCGGTTCGTGCCCATAACCCTGGTCACGTAACTCAATATGAAATTCGAGAAAATAAACACAATTTCCCTTCTCATTCAGCGGCAAGCGTTAAGCAGTAAAATGGAACGATTCAACTATTATAAAACGCTTTATTTATTGAAGTCAGTTTAGTACGGCTTTATTGTTTTATTTTCACATTTATCTGTTTTGTGTCTCCTTTAGGAAATTAACTGTTTTAATGACTTTACGGACCTGAGTTTCAACGTGTTAATTTAACAGCGAAGTTATTGTATTTTGAAGCCACCCTGTTGGACGTTATGTGTGGCAAAATCTTGCAATCATATTGCAAATCTAAGTAGAGATATTCATATCTCATCGCTACTCAGACACCATTCTATGTCAATTTATGCAAAAATGATCTTTTAATCATAATTAAGGAATGTATTTTTATTAATACCGACAATTACATTTCTATAATCATCTCATTCTTTAACTAATTAATAAAAAAGTTTTTAAAATAGTTTAGCAAACAATTTAATGTTCATTCCCTTTTAAATTGAAATCAATTGATTTAATTTTAATATTTGTGTTTAACAAACGAATATATTGGTGAGTCAGTCTTAGAATAAGTAATCCTGTTGGTTATTTCTTAAAATTTTACAATTACTAAACATTTAAATGTTTACACGCAATAAGCTTAATAAAATTTTACGATAAGATAACGTTTCTCAATGGAATAAACAATAAAGGACAATAAATCAATGGATGATAATTCTTTGAGTTGGATTTTACTAAGCTCCTATTAAACCGTTTATAACCGTCTTTTTAATTTATATTATATTTATTTAATTTACAGTTGATTTTAAGTACAAACAATTGTGAACTTGTGTGTAGGTGTAAGCGTAGGTAGTGTTATTTATTGCTATTTGCATTACGTACTGATTACATTTTGAGTATTAATAAAGTCCTGCCCTTCAGGAGAGCTCAATGTTTAACCAACGAACATACCGGATTCAACGGTATTCGACGCAACCCGATGCTACTCGATCCCTTGTCACGTTTTGGTAGGGTGTGCACATCTATGCGACGTTAAGCACACGCCACGTATAGTCACACAGCGTATATCACAAATCAGTATCGCAATCGCAACCCCTCCTTCGTTCTTAATGCATTACTTTGAGCAAAAATCATATAATTATATGTTTGTTAAATTTTATTGTATTAAATAAAGTTATTCCGGTGTTTTGATAAATTTTCTGCCTAATCATCATAATTAAATAGTTTTTATAAAAACTTATTAATTTTTGATGTCGTTTAATTTGGTTTAGATTAAAATAACATGTTGTAATTAACATAACGACAAAATTACATGTACTTAGTTTGAAATAAACTACAAAAATATGAGTGTCCTGTTCTGACGCTACTCGACGAAAATGGTGTGATTTTATGAGCAAAAACATGAAATAAATTTTTAGTTAAATTTTATGAGAAAAACCGTGTAATAAATTGTTAGTTAAATTCATTTGATCAAAAAATAATATTCCGTTGTTTTGATCAATTTTCTACCTAATCGTTAAAATTAATTTTTTTAAAAAATAAATACTAATGAATTTTTGATCTCGGTTAATTTGGTTTATATTAAAATTAGTCTGTTCTAATTGAAATAACGACAATAATACATGTAGTTTGAATAAAAATATGTGACCGGTTCTTTTATCTTCGACTGTACTGCATGCTACTCGACGATCTGGGCAGTGGGGATCGCAGAGGGTAGAGTAGGGTAGCGTTGTATAGCATCGGGCAGATGTGCAGGAGGTAACACAATCTTATGAAAAATTGGACTTTGGATTTGTGTCAGATATCATCGAGTAAGTTCGCATTGCGTTGTGTGGTGACCCAGAGGAACCACCACAGACGGCCCTATCAAGGGCCTCATCACCACCCATCTCTCGCTTATTCCCCTCCCCAGTTCGGTTCTACCCATGGAGAGCGTCCACATCCACCGGGAGTGGAGGAAAAAGGATATATGCCAAAAAGGAGGAGAGGCGGGGTATTTTCTGTTCCCTAACCTGAAGGTTGCCGGACGGCGGAAGACAAAAAAGGGCTGATTGCGGAAAGGGAGAGAAAGGAAGAAAGGAGGACGTTTCCCGGACGGGACCAACCCAGGACACCGGACCACCTCAGGAAAGGTAGGCAGGCCCTCTTTTTCTTCTCTCCCCCCCGTACCTACGAAGACATTTATTCAATATCAATAAACGGATATAAAAATCATTTTCATCATCACATCAGTGTAAATAAAGTTCTTGTGTTCTCACTGGAGGAAGATTTTTGGATCCCAACTCAACCTTGCTCCCCAGCTCCTAACCAGTAAAAATCACTACAGTTGCATCGGGTAAGTGTGTTCCCCGCTTTAGCTGCTTGTTGAATGTGGACGGAACAAATCTCATTACGTTGCTTTTTTAATACTATTTTCACACAAAAGTACATGGGCTACGCCGGGAGACTCGAACCCAGAACCGCTAGCGTGGCAAATACGATCCGGAGGGCCAAACCACTCGGCCACCGTGGTTCCCAATTATTTTTAATACTGATTAGTCAAAAATGAGTACATGCTTTGATTTTAATCAAATTGTCTTGCATATTAATGCATATTTAGTTCGTTCCAATTCAATTACATTTAGAAGAATGTTAATATTATTATTAGTATTATTTCTTTGATATTATTATTCATTATTTGTAAATTGTGAGATGCGGTCTGGTGTGACGTAGATTTTAGAAAAACATTTTCTTTATCGTGCCAACAATTCTATCTTTATTGAGATCATCTTCAGAGCCTGGGATTTATTAACATTGCTTAAATTATGCAAATACATGTAGGATGTGAATAAAAATGAATTTATACAATGATAGAAATTTTAGATTCAATCAAAGTATTTGTATCCACCCAAAGTGTTTGTTTTCTGTATCACATTTTGAGTGAGTACAAATACTTTGATTGAATCTAAAATTTCTAGAATTGTATAAATTCATTTTTTTCACATCCTTCATGTATTTGTAAAATTCAAACAATGTTTATAAATCCCAGGTTCTGAAGATGATCTCAATAAAGATCGAAACGTTGGCACGATGAAGAAAATGTTTTTCTAAAACCTACGTCACACCAGACGGCATCTCATTATCGACAAATAATCATTATTTAACGGTCACTAAACACCACTCATTATTATTATTTGTTTTTCAGAATGAAGGATTTTTCAGCAACTTATTTTTAAATTTGAAATAATTTAATTGATATACCTACTTCTTTATCTGATTGAAATATAATAATAAGTCCGTTCTGTTCAATTTTTTCCATGGATAAAAGTTTAAAAAATTGTATAATTTAAAAGACTTGCAGCTGTAATTGAGTTGCAAAATATTTTTTCATAACAACTTATGCAGTATGAATACATTTCTAAACTCCTATCTTGAGGATGACTAATTAATTATGAGAAAAAGTTAAGGGGAAAATGTTATTTGGCCGGTTCGCTGGCAATATCGGAAACGGAAAATAATATCCGTTCGAAAAAAGAAATCCTTAATTGAACGTAATCTTCTGGGAAATTAAGAGTGAAAAGGGGCGCTGGTGTAAATATTGTTTAAATTTGAACTTTATTAATTTAGCCGAAGAGATTACTTGAGGGTTTTTCTCCCTCAGAATTAAAGGTACTTTGTAAGTTTGCTCCGCCTGACCGGGGGGCGGTTACTTTTTAATTTTGAACGTATTCCTGATAATTAAGAACCCGAGACGTTCCGGAGGGTGGGGCCCGGCCCTGGAAAAAACCTTCCTCGCCCAAAGAATAATGAGGGAAAGTGCTAGCGCATAATTTCCCTTTGCGTTAATAAGCTCTGCTGTAATTTGTTGAAGAAAAAGCAATCTCGCTTCTACCATTAATAAGGATATTACGTGGATTACACTCAAATCGGCCGCCGGGCGGGGCCAAGGGGGTATCGTTTGACATCGACTTCCGTTTTAGAAAATTAAAAAATGCACGAGGCGCCCCTCCGGCGAACCACCTAGAAATTTTAATATCCAACAAGGAGCGTAAATTAATACTGAGAGCAAAGTTTTTTCATTAGTTGGGTCGGCCACCCTCGCCCACCTTTGTGTCGGGCCGAGGCTGTTCATAATCCTTGACTGAAAAGGCATGCAAGTAATTAAAACAGTACAACAACATTACAAGGGAAAGGGTTGGAGGGTCAAGTTTTGGTAATTAGCGACATTCTCCGTTCCTGTCATCCTTTCACAATACAGCCCTTTCTTGTGGCCTCCCATTCTCCTCCCTTCCCTCTCAAACTACCCCTCTCATATGCAGTTAAGAATATCTCATTACACCAAATTGCTTTCTCGAGCCCTCTCCTTTCTCCCCGAGCTCCTTCTTTCACCCTTTAACCTTTTTCCGTCCCTTTAATAAACTTGAGACATGTTTAAACCGGAATCCGTTAAAGGGATGAATCATCGATTTATCGGGACAATCTATCAACATATCCCATGAATCCCAACTACCGAATTTTCTCAGTCTTAAAATATTGCAAAATTATTTAAGAGAAAGACGACTGAATCAATTACCATTTTCACGATGTGAATTGCTTTTTGTCTAGTAAAGTTTTATTTTATTATGGAAAAGAATCCGTAAAAATTGATGAAGAAAATAGGAAAGTCTTAACCGATTATGGTTCAAGATGGCAATCACATTTGCTGCCAGCCGAGTTTTTGTTAAACAAAGTACTGCTTGAGTATCCTACATCGTTCCCGGATATGATACGTCGGTCAAATCATTAATTGTTAATCAGTAATCAGGGAATAAAAAATTTTGAAAGTTTTACGGTGCTGAAGCGCATGTCTATTCAAAAAATGTGACTTTGTACACAACAAATTGACGATTTTTTATTATTACATATAACTATCTTTTCTATCAATATCAGCTTTATTCTTATGGCAATTCATTAAAACAAGGCAATTAATCAACTGAGCTTTGCTTGATTTATTATTTCTGTTTGAAGACTTTTAAAAAAGAATTAATTTTATGCAGTTGATTTTTACTTCATATCGTGCTTACTCCTCGATTGCAAGGGCCCGCTAATTTCGCCCAAGAATCTCGTTACTGTCTCAATAAATTAATCTTGAAATAGCTAATTAAGGTTTGATAGGTGTCTGTTTTCCATTGCCGCCATATAAAATTACAGGCGTAATTAGTGTAATAAGGTGAAGCTAATTAATCCAAGCCGTTATAGCTTTAAACCCTATTGAATTCGTATTTAAGGAATTTCTGAAGGAGAACATTTTGTTAATGACAATCTTGATCCTTTATGATAAAACACTGTACACCTTGTTTATTATTTAACTAAACGACCTTATTGAAATAATTTGTGCCGCAGGGAAAACTTTTAATCTTATTAAACAGCGATTAGCACTAATTCACTTAATAAGTACTTTACGAAGTAAGGTGTTATTTGTAAAAGCTGAAATCTCGATTTAGCGTGAGATTTTTAGCGTGAAAGCCGCATCATCATTGTTTAAAAAAAAAATGTTCAGTATATTGTTTCCAATTTTTAAAGTCCATTTGTCAACACTGTTTTAGTTTGTCAGACGCTTTGCACGAAAATCGGTTAGTTTAGTTGACTACCAGCTATGGGGAACTGCGTGTTCTAATAAACAGGCTAGACCGAGGGTTGATAGAGAATTGGACGTTCTTGGGTGCGTCGGGACATGGTGAAAATATTCGTCAGAAGCGCGGTGTACAACCTATGGCTCCCTGAGGTAGGAGTCAAGGTGTAACAATGCCCTCCGCCTTAAGACCGATTCGATTGGTTATAGGCAGACAATGAGGAGGGCGGACTCGAACTTGCCATCCAAAGTAGGATGTG